GGGGATGCGTCATGGATCGTTGAGTAGAGGGGGGGCTAGGTTTAGGGTCAGGGATAATTCTTGGTATTTTTGCCTTGTTTTTGTCATTGCCCCGCCCCCCCCGCCTGGTCGGAGGGGGCAGAATACATGCAAAATGCGGCCTTTTTCAGGCCGACTGGTTTTTCTCGGGCGCTCATGCACGCGGGGTGGCCCATGCATATAAAATAAAATAAATGTTTCTTGCTAAAAAAACTCCGAAGATTTCAACAAAAAAATCGAAAAACAGATCGGACACGGTTAAGGGCCCGTACAAATTTAGGTACCCTAACTTATGACAGAGGAAGTAAGTAGTCTCATGTTAGGCCACGGTGCCTCCGGAGTTGACTGTTTAACGTTGGCCAGAGTGTGTAGGTGAGGTGATGACATTAGCCGCGACGAGTGATGTCAGCAGCTTCAGCGAAACAACGCTACAAGTATGCTTGGTGGAGCCGTCCGTAATCTGAGAGAGTCATCCCTCTCGTAACAACGGTCCAACGGGCCCAACGCATTGTAGAAGCCCAACCCTACCCTAGCACAGGAAGGCTACCTTTCTCATTTATCCTCATGCTGCACCAGATGCAGGATCTACTCATACTTGGCACTGCCGAAAGATAAGACCCTGGGCAATGCATGTGATGTTCCTAGCTGGTGCGATGAACGTCTTCATTCGATCCTCGTTTACGCATCATACATGATTCGTCATTCAAGGCGGCGCTTGAGGAGGCTCGAAGGGACGCGGCCTCTGCTGCCGCCAAACAGGCGCCCGCCGACGACGACTCCTCCAAAGCCGCCGCGACCCTATCAGCGCAGCTGGTCACCGCAACAGAGGATCTGGAGAGCGTGCGAAGGTCTTCGGTAGAGCGGGAAGCAAAGCTGGAGCAGATCGAGCGGGCTTTGGCCGAAAAGGTGAACCTTGTGCAGGCACAGTGCAGAACCGCGATGGCTAGGGCTTTCTTGCTATGTGGTGCAGGAAGGAAGGAGATCGGGCCGTCTAGTAGAAGTGCCGTTTTTTATGTTTTCAAGAATATTGTTGAGTCTGCAAGATAGCCCACGTCACGTCCAGTCCACGACTATTATACAGTACATAATTACTGATGATGATGTCTGCCTTGCTCTGGCTGGCCGGGTAGTTGATGATGGACAAATCGAACGTTTTGAGTACCATGTGTCACCGGACATTGCAGTCTAAGCCGCACGGAGGTTTTAACCCTCACGCGCCCGTCTTCACGAAAGGCTTCAGGTTTGTATCCTTTAATATGTTTGTACAATACCCTTCCTCCTCAACACACACACTCTCTTTCTGGGCATGCCATCTCTTTGTGGAAAACATACATCTAGCAACTACGACGAATACAGCAGCACTATCGCCCCAATTGTCCGTCTGGCTGTTTGATTGGCTTTCTTGCCAGACCGACGAGGCCGAAGCCAGCAAGCAACAGGTAGCAGTTTTGATTCAGGCTGCCAAGGAAGCAGAAGGTGCAATTGAGAAAGAGCGACAGGCAGTGGAGGCAGCGGCGGAGGCGAGGCGCGTGGACGAAGCACAAAGAACTGCCAAGGAGATTGGTGCGCTTCGACAACAGCTCGACAACGCGGTGCGTATCGTACACACAGACAGATAAGGATGGTGGATGGTGGGTGCAGAACTTACGCATATTTCCGAGGTGGCTGTCCGGCCTGGTAGAGTAAACAATAACAATCGCCAGCTACGAAATGGTAGCGTGTTGCTGGAGTGTGGGATCAGATGCCGAGCATGTACTAATTAGAAATTTGCAGCGTTGCGCGTGGAATGTTGTGGGTGAATGTCGACACTGAACACTTGCCAGGCGCTTGACCTACATGACTCTCAAGACGATCGACTGATCGACACTATTAAAAGAAGCCGCAGCTTTTCTGCCCGTTCTCGAGCCATTCCTCGCTTGGTTCTTCCGCTGGCCAGGGTGCCGAGTCAGTCGGTCAGTCGCACCTCGGCACACTCTTGCTTGCTTTCCTGCATTGCTCGCTGCGCCCGAGGTAAACGCGTTTAGGGTGTTGATGCGTGGACGTGATGCACTTGAATAATATAATACTATAGGTGCGAAGCCTTATGGAGGCGTCTTCTGGCGGAGACCAGCAGATCGAGGCTCTACAGCAGGAGCTGTCGGCTGTCCAGCACGTGAGCGATCGATCGATCGATGCGTGTAGAACGCATTCCAGGCTAGGATGTAGGGGGTATCGACTTGTTTCGTTGAGCGTCTTGGGGCTAAGCTCAAGTCCCACACCCGAAACAACCTCTGCCAGCTTGGGTAGGTAGGAATGTCTCCCTGGGTCCGTGAGAACGAACACGGTACTCACAAACTTTGAGCTTCTGTTGCTACTCTGTTGCCACGGCTGAACAGTTGAAGCCGAGTCGATGGCGCGATCATCAATCTGCTATTGATGTGTAACGTCCCACTGGCGTTTAGTCGTTGCTTTTTTTCGGGCGAAATCATCAAGAACAAATTATAGTTTTAATTTCGTAACGCCTCAGAACTCTTGTTCGCCCAGCTGAATGTCTCTGTGACGCTTTACTATCTAACTTAAGGCTTAGGGTTGCCGAGTTTAGGTTGTGCGTAGACGTTTAAACCCGTTGACTTATTTGGTGTCCCTTCTGTATCAGCTATTCTCGATTATGTGGATGATCATATAGTTCATGCCTCTAGCTTTTTGTCGTTTTGACATTGCAGCGCAAGGAGCAGGAGGCCGCAGAGTGGCGGCGACGCATTGATGAGTACGCCCGACAGGCAAAGGAAGAGGCGGACCGCCAACATGTTTTGTTGACCCAGACGAAAGAGACGATTAACGACGACTGGGCGCGTGAGCTGCGAAACAAGGAGGTCGGGTATTGGTGTTACACAAACAATGCAATCGCAATTTCTCGTTGTACCAGTCGCTTGAATCCAAAGCCGTGCATGCACGTGAGGTTTGGGATCGGACCGTACGGTGTATTTAAGCTAGTGGGTTGGGGGGTAAGCTGCGCTGCCTTTACCTCGGTGTAGAGCATCCGCTGACAAGTTGGAGCCATGGAACCAACCGCTGGCAGGCAATGTGGGCAGAGAAGGAAGTGCGCCTCCCTGGGCCTTGTGACGATGCCAGGCGGGCTGAATGCGCCACGTATCGTACGACCCTTTTCCGTCCTTTTGGACACACGCCACTGCTATGCACCGCTTTCTTTTGACTCTCTTTACCTACACCTATTTTTCGTGTTTTTCCTGCCTATATCCCACCAGGCGACAATTGCCCGGCTAGAAGCGGATGTGGAAGCCTCTCAGGAGGCACACCAGGCTGCAGCAAGGGAGAACGAAGTACAGAACGCACAGCTCCGGGAAGAGAATGAAGGGTTGAGGGGTCAAGCGGAGCAGGTGGAGGTGCTGATGGCTAGATGCGCTAGGTTAGAGGTGAGTCTGCACACCGAGCACCTTGGTTGTGGTCAATCGACGTTTTTGGCAAGACTTTTAAGGATTTTTTTTCAGGATATGCTGATTCAGCGTCTGACGAGTCTGAAGCAAATTGTTTAGGACGCTGACGCCTGTACCGGTGCTGAATCATGATGGGACAAAGTGGCACGCACGCATCAATTTGTCGTCTTCCCCCATGACTCCCCATCCCCTACTCTATCTTCTAACGTGCTTCCTCTTTGTTCGGATCGGTCCTGTGTAGGAAGCAGTGACCTCTGCCGGCGCGGAGACGGAGCAACGCCTTCGCGGGGAAATGGAGCGGGAACAGGGGCTAGCGCGAGAGGCGGAGGGGTCGGTATCGGCCTTGTCTCTGCGGCTAGAAGAGGCTGCCAAGGAAGCGTCTGAGAAGGCAGCTTTGGTCGCTGAGCTGAAGAGCAGGCTGGAGGAAGTCCAGGTGGGGACAGCGGTGGTGTTGATCGTTGCGAGCCACAGCTGTGTCTGCTGTTTTTCGCACGGGTCTACGGTTTTTGCTGTGCTTCTGCGGGAGGAGCTGTAGCGGTCGTGCCGGGCATTCGACAAGTCCCCCTCGGAATACTCAGCACCTCTGCATACACCTACCCCTACGTCGTGCTCCCGTTTCGCCGAGAATCATCACGGCGTCTTGGTATGCCAGTGATTCGCTTTCAGATGGAGATGGGTCTACCCTGGTTTGTTGTGGCGAAAAGCGAGAAAAACGACAATCGTACTGTACGACAGACATTGCGAAGCGCGATGAAAAGGCCGAATCATTATGTGAAACGAGCCACATCGCCATGCCGCCGCTCCCCTCGAGAGCATGAAATATTTACGAGTCACATGACTTGAAGTCTTTTGACAGCTTTTCAAGAGGCGACAGCAGTATCAGGGCTTCAGGCGTATGCACTGACGACAGCAGAACATCAACTACAAAGCCTAGCACATATACACCAATTGGAGAGCTATGCGTGCGGGTTGGTTTGATTGCGCGCGATCGACAGGCGTTCCTGAGTCAGAGCGAAGACGACCGCAAGGCTGCAGAGGATCGAGAGGCGGCGGCGGCGTCCGAAGCGAAGGGGATGCAGCAGGCTGTCCGCGAGGCGGAGGAGAGGCTCCAAGATGCCAAGGCTGAACTTGAGGTACAACCTTGTGATACAGAGGGTCTTGTTTGGTTTCATCATGATGCATACGGCGTGTTGGTAGTTATGATCCCCAGTGCAGGTTGCTTTTTTTCGTGCCGTCCACGTTTACCATCCAATTTGTAGCCCTCGGGGTAAGGTTGTTTCGTGTTGCAAGAGTGCCGATATTTCGTCGCCCCAACATGGTAGTTCGGCTATCGAAACAGCCGTGAACATAATCGCGATGGTGTTTGGCCGGGCGCTTGTTGATTCTTGCACACGCAGGACCGGGATGCAGTTATCGCGGCCGTGGAGGACGCAAGGTCTGCTCACGAGAGAGAGGCAGAGCGGCTCCGAGATAAGCTCAGCGGATTAGGCAAGTCACTGACGCCGCTCGACCCCCATGCGAACGGCGCAGCTGTTTCCGCTAACGGTGACTCCCTCAATGACTTCTCGAATGCAAGCGATGGCGGGCGCGACGATCGAGTGGACAATGCAGAGGTTCGTTTGGGGACGAAGTAAAGGGGCTGAATGCGGCACCGGTAAAGAGCGCTCCAGATTGACTGTTGGGCGCACTTGCATTCATGATGTGGTTGCTGTTACACAGCCATGGACAGCTGTCGCATTCTGCCTGTTGATCCTGAAAACGTTTGCAGGCCAAGGCGCGAAACCTAAGGCAGTGGGTATGGTCTCTGATGGAGAACAGGTTTACGGTTGTACTCCTGCTTCATATAATTCCACATTTGTTGCCGTTCTGCACGGGTGAAAGCACGGGCTGCGGTTGGTGGAGGGCACGTCGAGTGTTCCTGTTCGTTGAATCTTCAGACCACAAAACGTCGGACCATACGAGACTCGATCCCTGCCGGGTGAATTTGTGCTTTACAGTCGAGTTTCCGCTGCGTTGGTTACCCACCCTCACTCGTTGTTTTTGTGTCCGCTGCCTCTGCGATCTCCGAATTTTGCGAGCAGTACTTGCATCTCTTGTCGGAGCATGAAGATCTCCTCCAACTGCTCGCGCAGCAGGATGTCGTTAGAAAGAAACTGCTCAACGCGTTGAAGGTGAGAATGCCACGGACAAGATCAACGTCAAGAACAAGACGGTGCTTCCCAATCCCAATGAAAGGAGGCAGATCTGCACTTGTAGCTTGAACAGCAGGAGAGCATATGGCGGACTACACGTGTCCTGCAATATTGATGAGCCATACAAGTTGTTCCCTCTTTCTGATGAGCGTTCGCCCCGGACACATCTGTTGGCATGGTCGAGAGTCACTGCCTTCTCTCACGCTATTGAGGCGTGTCCACAGTCCTCAAGTCTCCCGACGCGTTGCACCCCCTTCGATTCGTTCGGTTCGTCAGCAAAACGCCGGCCAAGAGGCTGCGAGGGCAGTCATGAAGGACGCCGAAGCTGCGGTAACCGCCACGTATGGCATGTTCGTGCACACTGACGATGACGATCTGGACGACCATCGGCCCGAGGGCGGAGATGTTGTGCCGGGTGTAGAAAACGGAGCCCCGCTAGCCGGTGGGAGTAGGACTGTTGCTGTATAGGGTTAGCTGCTCTGGAGGAGAGGTCAGTGGCTATGGTTGGGGTCAGCCGGTGCTAGGAGCATGCTTGTAAGGTGGAGCTGCCCTGCTGCGTTGGTTTGGCGTGACTTTGAATCATCGAAAGTTCACGCACCAGCAGTCAATGACGTCTGTCACAGGCTTCACCACTACCGCGTGCCGCCGGAATTGTCCATGCAGAAGAATACTGGAATACAACCTTTGCCTTTCATGGCGTCTTGGTTTCGCAACCTTGCGCGCCCGTTACGAACCACACCTCCCGTGGTGCGATTGTTAATGCTGTACCTTTGACATTTCATATTGAGACGTGTGCTCTCCGGAACGTTATAAATGCCAGCAACAGCTGTCGCGACTTTCATTTATTATTTGTGGCCACCGCAGATACGTGTGACATGACAACGCCGCTTGTCGTGTCAGTTGCCGTGAAAAAGAGACAAGGATGCAACCCCACCACCCAACGTCTAAACTACCAGCCTGCGTGTAGAAGCATCCCGACGACCGGATTGCAGGTACTCCGACAATCGACGCACAGCATGCGCGACAACAATAATGTAACAACCACGCGCGGTTGTAACACGCGAAAAGTTCCTGTCATCGTGGAACATGAGACACAACATGAAACAACCCGGGCAACAACACAGTCGGAAACCTTGACGCCTCACGCCTTGGCCAAAAGCCGAACATCCTGCAAATAGACCACCTCCTGCCCTCCACCGCTCCGCCCGAACACGCGGAGGTCGCCTCGAATCAAAATATCACTAGCATTCGCCAAGATTTCCTTCATCGCGGCCATCGTCACGTCCTCCCCGAGCGGCTCGTGCAACCATCCATGATCCTCGCGCAACACGACGCTTACATGAGTCCAATGCCCTGGTACTGCTTCCGCTACGTCGAAAATCAAGTTCCAAGAAATTTCTTGGCCACTGCGCGAGCGAATCACCACCGCTCCTCTTGTTGAGCGTATGTCCCCACTAGCTGCCGAGTAGGCCAGTCTGTTGAGAGCGGAATAGTGGAATTAGGAAATGGGGTTCACATTCGGCCATGAGACAACGGGTTATCGTTCCTTTTTTTTCGACTCACGTCATCTAATCGGAGGCAACATACTATTATTGTAGCTCGCATTTCTCATTGACTGTTGACCACACACCCCTTTCAAGGCGAAACACTGCTGGTTTGAGACACGCATCCAAAACTCGAGCGCCGCTGGCCGTTCAGTCTTCCAAAACGTAGGTCATTCTTGCTTATCAATGTTGTGGTGGTTCTGAACTACTCCCACTGTCTTGTGCGCCAAACTTACCGATGCCCGACCCACTTTTCAGGTTGCTTGTGTTGAAAAGTTACACATACATGCCCTGCTTTTCACTGTCTTCGTCCTCCACCGTGACAATGGTGCACAGTCCCTTCATTAGCAATTCTGCCCCTACTCGGGAATGTCAGTTATAACTTGTCACGTTGAGCACGTGGTATCAAGCTGCAATTTCTCGGCTGGTGCCATCTGTGTATTTTCCGGCTGCTCTTGCGCGTACCTCTAGCCATGGCACACTCATATTCAACAGAATACCCCGTTCAAAGCTACTGTAGGCAGTCTCAACCTGCGAGTCTAAATTTTCGAGGATCGCACCCATCTTGCACTCAGGTGCCCGTTCCATTCCAAGTCATTATAATATTCCAAGATTGGTTTTTCACGATCTCCATGCACACACTGATCAGCGATAAATTGCTCGTTCCTTTCCCCCCCATCTGAGCGCTAAAATGACATCGGATCGTTGTTCCCACTCTCGTCGAAATTATTGTTAATCGGGGCAGTTTCTCATGCCACACAATGCGCGTCTAATGACCACACACACGAGCCTGAACCTCATGAGGAATCATTTGGTGACATCGCAACACCTTTTACGACGTCGCACCTGAATTGCAGCCGCCCGCCGTACGATGTGCCACTCCGTAGCCCTGTAACAAACTCCTCCGACCCGGCGAACCTCCAAATGCCGGCGTGGACTACTCCGCATGGGTAGCCGGGATTCAGGCTCGGTGAGACCTGCACCAACCCGACCCCGTTCTCAGACAGAAGACCGTGATTGGCTTCTCCCGAAACGCTTTCGCCGACGCCTGATGAATCCTCGACGAAACGGCCTTCCATTGAGGCGGGCGTGAAATCCCAGTGAAGAACCTTGCCGTGTCGAGGAGGTGGGAATGAAATTCGAGCAAATGTTCATCGTCGGCATCCAACAGCTGCAAGGTTCGGTTCCTGTTGGACGACATCCACCCATGGTTTAACGTGTGCCGACTGGAACAGGTGCACCAGACTCGCTGTCTATACTCCGCAGAAAAAAACGGGCTCGCACCTGTCCAACCGTGTTTCCCTCGAAAGGCTCGTGCATCTGCTGGGCCACCTCGTCGGCAGTCACAAACTTTGACCATAACCTCAGATGCTGGACCTCTGCCTCGAGCCCCCCTGGTCCTTTCGATCCACTTACTACCTCGCACTCAAGAGGGTCCGACGTGGACACATTTGCCGTCATCACATCCTGGGCGGAGGTACAATCGCTTGATTGCGCTTGTCCCAAAACCAGTCTCCCCCCGGTTGACAATGTCACCCCGGTCTTGTAGGGGCCACCATCAAACACCCGAGCGCCGTCGTAGAACGCATCTACCCGTCCATCCGCAGATCTCCACGCGACCGTCACGTGATGCCAGGCCCCATCGCGGGCCACGTCTATCCCAGTTTTGATTCCGCCCATATCTCCTCCTGAAGGACCATCGTAGCGATCTGCAGCGGAAACGAACTTCCCGTGCACAAGAAGGTTCAGTCCGTTCAAATTGTGAAGGAGAACTTCGGAATCGCTCGGGCTCGAATTTGGGCCAACGTAGGACACCACCGTTCCGCCACCTCTTCCACCAGACGTCGAGATCGCTCGTATCCAGAACGACAATGAAAAGGCCGTGGAAGGAAAGTTGCTGACGGGGACAACTGTCGTAACGTAGCCTGTTGAGTTGAGCCGAATCACTGACGGGCTTTCGCCGGTCGCTGGGAAGCGCTCAGCCAGCCCACCCCCGAATATGCAGTCGTGGTCACACGGCGCCGTCGCAGCATAGTCGCATCGATCATCTGCAAGGATGGCAAGGAGCAAAGGCAGAAGGTTCTTCCAATGACATCAGGATTTCAGCGCCAACAGGGCTGCCGACCTTCGCTACCATGCACGCGCCTCTTTACGTGGCCGGTTTCGAGTTATCGCAACACACCCTTTTCAAGCAGAACGATCGCGACAGAGACGGCATGCCTGCTACATGCTTGTTGTCTTCGAGTTGGGATAGAGTGCCATACCGCACAACTTACCATACTCGTCAGCGCCGAATATAGCATCTTTAGCCGCAAAGCCGGTTGAGTCCACCCATCCGCTTTGCCCTCCGTTATCTGTGATTTTCCAGCCAAGAGCAAGATCATCTGCTCCACCTGAGGAGGACTTTGGTTTAGCAGAAAACGTTGCATCTGCTAGGACGACTCCATCCCCGTAGTCGTACAAGAGAACTTCTGCCTCTGTGGCTGTTGTCTTCAACGCAGCGCCTTGGTTGATGGGCCCCTCAAGACTGAGGGCAATGGAAAACGACTCAAAGTGTGCCTCCGTCTCAACATCGTCCACCAGCAGAACATCCACGGTTTTAGAGGTATCTCCGTCGTAAAACCGAACGGTGCCGGCCAAGGCGGTGTAGTCGTCACCACCGGTGGCGCTCCCATCCGCAGTGGTATACCCTATGTCCATTACACCCATAGTGCCGTGGTCTCGCGCAATAGTCAGAGTCACTGTCCCGCTGGCCTCTGTTGTGTACCAGACAGTCGACGTGAAGCCAAACAAGCCTTTTGGCTGATACTCAACCACCGAGAGCCCGATCACAGCCGCTGAGGAGTTTGTGGACGTCGCCGCTTCAACAACCGTGGTGTATGTGAGCCCTTTGGCAGCAGACGTTACATTGCCATTGCGCAAAGGGCTAGATTCGTCTGACATCTGCTCGTCCAGGTTGGTGAGCAGCTCAGTGACAGACTGATCTGCCAGTGAGCTGCATATGGCACACAAGAGCCACAGAGCGTGGTTGTGTTTAAAGTGTTGCACGCCCAAATGAAAGGCGACAAATAGTTACGGTTCCTGTCGCTGCAAAGGAGATCGCCGCAGTACGCAAAACAATCCTACACTCCAGCACGTTGTCGCGGAGGGTTGGTGGCAGCAAAATCTCATTCATCGCGTTCCAAAACGTGCAACCCAAAACACACGTAGTGTCGTTTTCCTCAGTTCTCGACCGGACAGTGGCCGTTCTTGCGGGTATTCGTGGTTACTCCGTGCTCGACATGAACCGTTTTGCCTCAGAATGGCATCGGTTCACGTCGTGTTTGCTAAACCTCTCCTTGTTTCTATTGAACGGATGTGCAGCATGCTCTAGATTGGGCTCAGCACTCTCTCGGGCTTGTGTATCCACTGACATTTGGGTAGTTTGAACGTTAGGCAGATTGTCCTGTCGCTCTTGTGGAATGGCCTGCTCGTGTCACAGTGCGTAGGTTGCATTCAACCTCACAATATTCAGCACAATCGTACAAGCTTACCCCGTTGGCTCGATGGTAAAGTCTACCACCACAGAGCCCGCCCGCATGCCGGTAATGATGAACCTCGAAGTTGCAACCCCGAGAGCTCGCGCTAGATCCAGCAAGAAAGCCCACAAAAAGTCCGCCCGAGCGTCAGACCCCTCGGGGTACGAAGAAATTTGACCCTCCATCGTAAAAGAAACGTCTGCTTTTGTCCGTTGAGTGTCGCTGATCGTTGTTGTGCCCGAAGATGACGCGCTCGAAACTGATACCGGGACGATTGCTGCATATAAACGCCAGTCGTCCGAACCATGCTTGTAGCACAGGACCCAGTCCTCTACATCGCCATCAAACGCAAACTCGGCGACACCTCCGACAACCGTGGCCGTCGCTGACCCAAATGCAGGTGTCGCAGCGTCGCATTGGATGTCGGAAGAAGTAGAGGCGCCCACCCATTTCGCGAGGTCTGCGGGCATGTGAGTACAACATGAACCAGGTTGACGAATTGCAGTTGTAGTGTACTGCAGCTGACACGAATAGTTATGCAGGATCTAAAGGCTGAACACGTGCCTAACTCCTGTTTGTGACTGCCTGCGTGGACGTCGTCTCAACTGGTGGGAATACTACGAAACACAGACATAACATTTTTCTCATTTTGTTGACCGCCCCACACAATTTGTTCAGACGAAAAACGACGACCAAAGCCACTTCCCAAGTGCAGCGAATGAGGAAGGGTCTCCCAACCTCACCTCCATCGACGATTCCAGTTCCGGAAAATGAGAATTGCAGGGCATCCCCAGCCGCGGGGGACCCCTCCCCGTCGTTGTCCACCGATACTGCTGTCACCTCGTACGCCTCCAATGACACATTCTCAAACAGCTCCCACACCCCCGCGGCTCCAAACCTGTAGCACAGCTTGTACGGCCTGTTTTCCTCCGTGCGGTCGCTCACGTATAGGGTGATGGTGCTCGTGCCTAGTGCTGGCCCGGACGAGCCTGGCACTGTCGTGTCCGGAGCGAACTCTGCCTCATCCCCCCCAGCGGCGTTGCCTTCACAGCCCCCATCAGCGTTGTCAGCTAGTTTCAAGGCATCACCGGAGGTTAGACCGAATGTGCCGATCAGCCGAATAGTTGTCAACCGTCCCGCTATCACATGGGTGGTGTTCACATTTGAGATAACCGGAGCAAGCGCTTCCATAGTAATATTTGGGTACGGCATGAAGGGTTCTGAGCCGGGGGCGTAGCAGAGCATCAAGTCTGACACTGGTTCCGTGAACGTGAAGGATGCCTCTTGGTAGAATCCGGCAGCGACACCAACCGAAGAACCGGCGGCAGGGTCCACCGAATCAGCGCAGAGGTCGAGCAAGGTCTCGGAGGTGTAAGTCTCGGTTGCAGGAACCCACTTGTATTGATCACCTTCCATGCCACCAACTGCCACAAAAGCCACCACCTGCGGTGAGTTCGTGATGGACGTGAGCACCTGCTCTGTGCCCAACTCGCGAATTGTCGCTGACAACAGTTGTCGTGTGCGCAACGTTATACCAGCATGGAGATGGTAGGGCTCGTCCTGATGCTTGTAACACAACTGCACTCTGGTCGAACTGAACGTTGGCGTTGTAAACGTGAAGGTAGACGAGAGCACCTCCTCTTCTGGACTTGATATGGCCACTGCTGAGCTCCCGCTTGACGTGGCTGTCGTTGGGTCGACTGTCGATGTGTTTGCCGTTACCAATGTTGGCGTGTACATGGTCCACTCCACTTGCTCTTCATCAACGACACCATCGGATTCGCACCCTTCGTCACTCGAAACGGAGGGCATCACCCACTTGGATTTGTCACCCTCGGCAATCCCAAACCCGGAAGGATGGAAAGTTTTCGGATAACCCACGACGCTATCATCGTCAGAGCCATCTTCCGCAGAAAAATCAACCAACCTAACCGCCGTCAATGAGAACGACGTGTAGATTTTGAAACTCTCCGTCCTGAAAAGATAAGAGGGGTTGGGACGGGGCGGTCAGGACAGGCAGATTGAAACAAGTGTTGTCAATTGCCGGAATCTGAGGCAAGCGGCACGTCCCACCGTGGTGTAGAGATAGCGAGCAACACGAGCTGAAAGTCGACGCAGTCATCTGTCGCCTTGACAAACCTGCACTTGCACCGCATACCAAAAAAACATGCGAAAAACGGTGGCTGATCGATCCAAGTGTTCTCACCCAAACCGATAGCACAGGACCCATGTTCTACCCGCCATGTCCTCGCCATCTTCATCCGGAATGAAAAAATCGGCTCCATTAAGTAAGTCCACGGTGCTTTCAGGGCCAGACAAAAATGCGGTCACCAGACAGTCGCCGTCAACCCGTCCACCAGACACCCAGACTGCGTTGTCTCCAGCTTCAACAGCACCTCCTCCGGTGAAGTTAAGACGCTTGACGGCGCCTACAACGATCGTGTTAGCTGCTCCCGCTGCTGCAGTCACGTCCGAGATCCCCAGCACAGTCATCACGAGGTCGATATAGACCTGATAGGGTTCCTCGTCGAAGGAGTCTGTTTGAGCCAAGGACGGGAGAGAGACGAACGGGAAGCGATTCAAAATTTCTCGCGAGAGCACGAGGTAAGCATGGTAGGTGGGGAACGATCGCCGTGCCTTTCAGTCCCGCCGTGCCTTCATCAGGAATGCAAAAAGATAAGAGTACAGTGTGACACCCACAGGAGATACAACCGAGGCTAAGGTGAACCCATCAACAAAAAATACGCACAAGTCAAACTCACAGCACATGGCGTATGGTCCTCCAATCTCTCGTTCGGGGAAAGCTATCGTCTGGGCGGTGAAGCCTGTAGCGTCGAAGTACAGAAGATCGAAGCTTCGCATCCCTTGAACATCTTCGACATCACCGGCGATTCCGTTCGATAAGCAATCATCACCATCGACCCACTTCACCTGGTCCAACCCCGCCTGAACAGAGCAGCATCAAGAGCAGGAAAAAAAGTGCAGTTAGAGAAAGACGTGTGTTGTAACAGTGTAACACGTCTGGTAGTGCAGTCAAGTCTCGCCATAACCTTACTCGGTTGTGTTCTGCAGAAGGATCATTGTAGACAACAAGCTTTGGAAAATACCCGACGCGACGGTTCCTCCGTGCGTACGAAATACCTCGGTTGCTGTGCCGTCCCCTATGAACGAAAACGTCTTCGCCACACCGGGAATAGCCTTCCTAGGGGACCCCACATCTACCGCAACAGCTCGAATCATCCGGATGTCGATCTCGAATTCCACGTACTCCTTGAAGGGCTCGTCTGTGGCACATAGCACAAGCAATAGGCCTTGATCATACCATTGTCGATGCCATTGGCGGCATGATTTGCTGTTTCGTCTTGCTCGTCATGGGTCGTTCATGTGTGCTTCGGTTCAGATTTGACACACCAGCAGTAGAACAGATGGTATAAATCTCTACACGCTGCAAGTTGAAGGGACTTACCGTTAAACTTATAGCATATGTGCACGACAGACCCGGACACAGAACTATCGAACGCGAACCATGGTGCCAGGGTAGAGTCTACCAGAAGGATCCCGTCAGGGTCTCCCACCAGATTAGCAGCTGAAGCTGTTTCGCAGGTCGATGCTGACCAAAAAACCTGACCAGTAAACAAGGGTCAAAGGTCAAGTATAACGACAGGCTGAGAAAAAATCACAGCCTTCCCAGTCCGAGTCTTATACATGATGGACGTACCACTTAGATGGGAATGTGCGATATATCAAGCCTTGTGTTCTACTCAGCAGCTACTTCTTCTCGAACCTGATCCCCGGCGGCCAAGAACTGCCCAGCCATAGTCCACATCTTTGAGTAGTTGACCACAGCGACATAGTTAGATCCCTCGTTTGCGTGCACTTCTTGAAGCATTGCCACATCAATAGTCACATCGTTGTATGCCTTCCATGGCTCGTCTGAAATCACAAGGCAACATTGAGGGCACCGGTGACCTTGCTGCATTAACGGAATGAAGCAGTAGCGAGCACTGCGCGTAAGAGACGCCAATCGCTCTGCTTACGAAAGGCAGGAGTTAACTCCCCTCACTGACAACGCGGCCTACAAATCAACGACCGATCCAGCTCACACAGGGTATCGATGCTCCAGTCACACCAGAACCCAAATGCCCTTCTTGCTAGAGGTTTGCACGCACATACACAATCTCACCTGCGAACTTGTAGCACAGAATGGGCGATAATCCCGCAGATGACGCGCTGAACGTGAAGTTCGCGAGGAAAACACCTCCTCTATAGAAAATGGGCACGTCGATGATTTCATTTGCGCCTTCGCTAGGGCCGTCTAGGACAACGACGGTATCGTTGCATGAGGTTCCGGATGTCTCGTTGCTCACAATCCATCGCATATAGTCCTGTGACGAAGTGCCGTTGGCTCGAATAACAAGAACTTCTTCCACGTCTACGACGGCGATGTCTTTCCCACCCACAAGCGAATCCACGGACTTCACCATGTGTACAAACGCCCGGATGTCGTACCACATGAATTCTTCATTGCCGAATTTGTAGCACAGGTTGATGAAGTAGCCTGCTGCTGCGGATTTGACGATAATTGTCGCTGTGCTGTCTGTTTCAAGGTACATGGCAACGCCATCCGAGTCAGCCCCTGTCAGCGGGACCTCAGAGTTACTTGCACAATCGGTGTCGTTGATGACAAACTTGATCAAGTCTCTTTCGTCGCCAGCTTGAAGACCGTCCCCTTCAAAAGCCCATTTCTTGCCCTCATCGACCACGCAAGTCGTATCGCTACCCCATACTGCTGTCATGCTGTGCACCATTTTGACGTACACGGGCATCGAGTACCGGCGCCATGGCTCGCTGCCGTGCCTACATATGTGAGTCAAGAACAAATTGTTGTAGATTAGGTTGCTGCCTATGGGACGGAAAGATCTACCTCCCCATAGTCTTTCATGCCTCTTCGGCAGTTCACCGCACAGCACAACAAGACACGTGCAGCTGTTCAGAAGAAGTGAGGAAGACTACCACGACATTCGTTCGATGACATTTACAGGCGGTATTGGGCTGTGAGAAGAAAGCATTTCCTCGACAACACTCAACCCTCCCTTGACATACCTGTAACATGGGGTGATCCAGCGTCCGGACACACTTTCCGCGAAGGTGCACGTAGTCTTGCCAGAAATGATCTTGCCGTCCTCCTCCATCTCCGGCAGGGAATTCGATTCAGAACAATCGGAGGACTCGTTGTAGATCCATCGTACGAAATCATTGTTTTCAATGTGCCCACCGGAGAACCCCCAACTCTTGGGGTACCCAACAACGGCGACATCGGCATCGCCGAAAGATGGGGCTGACAGAGTTGACAGATGGGCCACATTGATCACGACAGACGAAAAGAGCACGCCAGGCTCATCCTGGAACCAATAGCACAAGCTTGGGGTCTCGCCCGACATCGAAGCCGTGAAGGTGAAGGTGGACTCGCCGCTAGAAACCTCCACGCGGCCGTCGGTGGCCGCTTCATCAGAAATCAGCGCCCAGTTGTCGGAGCAGTCGGTGCCGAACAGGATCCATCTTGAACGGTCCTTCGAAGAGGCATTTTCCGATATTCCATACCCACTGAAGGTGAGTATTTCCGGTACATCTACCACCGCCAAAGAGGAGCTTCCCACCGCAGATGTAATTCCGTTCACGTAGTGTATTCCCATCGAAATGCTTGGATAATGTTGAAACTCCTCAGACCCAAACCTGTAGCATAGAGTGGTACCGGCGCTGGCGTTTCCAGCTGCCGCCTGAGTGAAGACATCTTCCGTGAACTCAAACGAAGCTTTGAAGGAAGACGACACACTAGCAGCGTTTTCTCCCCCGTTACCACCCGAGGCCAAGGGAGCAACATCCCGAGCGGACGAACAGTTGGTCGAACCTTCCAGAAGCCACTTGGCCTCGTCGAATTCGGCATTCCCAAATCCTGACAGGGTCAGAACTTTGGCATATCCGACAACGCTGAGGGATGTGCTACCCTGCTCTGCATTCTGCACGTTGTACAGCTCAAACACGTCAATATTGATCGCAGGATACAGCTTAAAGGGGTGACTACCGTTGGAAAACTGATAGCAAAGCTGGAGGGGGCCTGTCGTTTCGGAACTCTCGCTAAACGTGATAATGGCACTGGATGCACTGCCGTTGAAAACGTCAATGTTGATTTCCTCGGCGTTCCAGTTGCAGTCTTCATCCGAAGTGGCGCTGGAATTCACCCACTTCACTTTATCTTCCAAAGCCATGCCATGACCAAAGAACGTCCATCGTTTGTTCTGGGCAGCTACGGCCACAGAGGACGATCCAAACGCGGCAGCTGTTGATAAAACTTGTTTTCCGACCACGACCGATGCGGCAACACCGACGTCAATCCTGCGAATAGCAGGAACAGGCAGAGGCACGAGCAAGAGCGGGGGACAGCGGGAACAACAGCTCAAGGTTTGCCTTCGAACATCAGTATTCTGAATGAAGAAGCCTTTCAAGAACGAACAGTCCCATGGAAACCAACCAGTTTTTTGTTACGCTTTTCACTTCAGAACATCCTATTGCTATTTCAATGTCTGGTAGAGGACATCCGGGTGTCGCAGGTACGTGGTGGGACAAGTAATCGAATCAGGCTGCAGGTCGAAGGACGTGAGGGCCAAGATTTCGCCAAAAGATTGACGACACCTCCCTTCAACGCTACCGTAGCCTAGAGTACCCCCGTTGCCTTTCTTCGTCTGCCCACCTCCCCACAAACTTGCCGATATATGGCGCTGCCCGGGGGGGCGATGGGCGTACCTGTTGGTTGCCTGCGTTCATCACCCATACGTTGGAATTCAAACTTCCTCGGCCCATCCTAACGTTCAATGGGTACGTTCCTAGCCCAGTTCTGAACGCTGGAGGTCGTCATTGAGGATCCTATTCAGCTTGTGTCCATCCGTTTCCAGGGGTCGGGGAGAAACGGGGTGGCACAATAGCCGCCAATAGTCCCTCCACTTAGATTTTTGTGTCCTCTGTGGGGTCAGGATACATACTTTGGAATATTTCATAGTCAACGCTCATCAAAGTTACACTGACAGATTTCGTAGGGCACATTTCTCCCAACTGTTCGTGTATCACCATAGATTGCATCCACACAGGCGTACGATTTGCGTGATGAGGATGGTGAACGACCCCACAGCTTTCCCGTCCTCTTCCACCCTTGCCTGTACGAAAACCAAGGTGTGTCTGAGCCGCGCGGGCCGCTGAGGACACCGCAACACGCTGCGCAGTCTGGACCACAGTTGAAACAATGAAAGTGTGTGACCGACCACTTTGCTCATGTGATTCTAGCCCCAGGAATTATCCGGTCAACCCCGCAGTCCTCGAATGCAAAGTGTTCGTTCGATTGGAGGGATCAAACGCAGAAATTACACGGGCGCGATAGACCGAGGTCACACATTGACAGCGCTGCAAGTATGATCACGTAACCGTGACGCTGAGTCCCATCTCAACGAAAATCACGTCCAGCGATTTCGGCCAGGAACCTCAAAATCGCGGCAAGTTAACATGATGAAAAATACAACGTGGTGGTTTTCAAACACTTGTATTGCAAAACGACGGACGTGTGCTCCAGTGTCCACGCAACTAATGCTGGACACGTATCGTGAAGCCGCACCTGTTGTTCATGGCACTGTCGGTGAACGTAGTGACGGAGAAGTTGCCGGTGTCTCCCACGGACCCTCGGTTGATGACTGTTGAAAGAGTAAGCGCTACTGATGTTCCTGCCGGAACGATATCACCAAACCCGTCGCGCTGAACAGAAACAGTGAACGCCCCGTTCACAATCACCGTACCTAGCTCGGCTGAGTCCGCAACTATGGGTGAAACGGAAGGAAAACTCGGAGGAAACTCAATCTGCACTGACGCAAGGACAGGAAGAGGGTTCGCGATGGTAAAAGAAAATGTGATGGATGTCTCCATAAGCGCCACATCATATTCCAATGAAGCGCCGACGACCGGCAATATTCCCGCCAGAAACGAAACGTCTGGGAGGTCGGATCCTTCTTTGGAATCATCTATGGCCACGTCGACGTCCGCCAATGTGGTTTTGACTGACGGAAACGATGCGCTCACGCCCTCGAACAGCTGGTTCGTTATGCCGTCGACCAATGCGAGAGACACGCTCGCACCCGCTTCCACGACACCACCATCCCCGGCCCGCTGCACACGCACCGTGTGGAAGGCGTCCGAAGCCACGTACACCTCCACGCCACCGTCGATGCCCGTGGCCACAACCTGGCTGCAGTTGATGGAAGAGAACTCACTTGGAAACTCGATGAATATGTTCCCGTCAGCCGGCAAGGGGTTCGACAATACGACAGTGACGTTCGCTCCGCCCTCGTGGCCTGCCACAAGGCTGTCCAACTCGACCGTTGGTGGCTCCGAGAACGCTCCCGGGGTGAACGACACCCCCGCTGGTCGATCCTCCGAGTTGTGTGCAGAGCTCGCCTCGTCGACGGATATACTGGTGTCGTTGAGTGTCGTTTTCAGGACGGGAAAGGAGTCGCTCTCGCCCTCAAACAGCTGGTTCTTCACGCAATCGACCAAGCTCACAGACACTTCCGCCCCCGATTCCACTGGAGAACCAAATCCGTCGCGCTCCACGTCTACGGTGTATCCGGATACATTCGAAACGAGACCGCCGTCCATACCCGACGCGAGAGCCACTGAACAGTCCACGCTCGTGACGTTTGATGGGAAGGTGATGATGACGTGCCCGTCACTTGGAATCGGATTCGACGTGATGAAGCTCACGTTGGCGGTGCCCACTTCGCCGGCGGCGTAGGTCGAGAGTACAACAGTGGGACCTACGCCCGCAAACGCCCCTGGGGTGAACGTCACTCCCGGGGGTAGATCAGGCGTGTTGAACTCGGCACTAGTCTCATCTATGGCCACGTCGACGTCCGCCAGCGTGGTTTTGACTGACGGAAACGATGCGCTCACGCCCTCGAACAGCTGGTTCGTTATGCCGTCGACCAATGCGAGAGACACGCTCGCACCCGCTTCCACGACACCACCATCCCCGGCCCGCTGCACACGCACCGTGTGGAAGGCGTCCGAAGCCACGTACACCTCCACGCCACCGTCGATGCCCGTGGCCACAACCTGGCTGCAGTTGATGGAAGAGAACTCACTTGGAAACTCGATGAATATGTTCCCGTCAGCCGGCAAGGGGTTCGACAATGCGACAGTGACGTTCGCTCCACCCTCGTGGCCTGCCACAAGGCTGTCCAACTCGACCGTTGGTGGCTCCGAGAACGCTCCCGGGGTGAACGACACCCCCGCTGGTCGATCCTCCGAGTTGTGTGCAGAGCTCGCCTCGTCGACGGATATACTGGTGTCGTTGAGTGTCGTTTTCAGGACGGGAAAGGAGTCGCTCTCGCCCTCAAACAGCTGGTTCTTCACGCAATCGACCAAGCTCACAGACACTTCCGCCCCCGATTCCACTGGAGAACCAAATCCGTCGCGCTCCACGTCTACGGTGTATCCGGATACATTCGAAACGAGACCGCCGTCCATACCCGACGCGAGAGCCACTGAACAGTCCACGCTCGTGACGTTTGATGGGAAGGTGATGATGACGTGCCCGTCACTTGGAATCGGATTCGACGTGATGAAGCTCACGTTGGCGGTGCCCACTTCGCCGGCGGCGTAGGTCGAGAGTACAACAGTGGGACCTACGCCCGCAAACGCCCCTGGGGTGAACGTCACTCCCGGGGGTAGATCAGGCGTGTTGAACTCGGCACTAGTCTCATCTATGGCCACGTCGACGTCCGCCAGCGTGGTTTTGACTGACGGAAACGATGCGCTCACGCCCTCGAACAGCTGGTTCGTTATGCCGTCGACCAATGCGAGAGACACGCTCGCACCCGCTTCCACGACACCACCATTCCCGGCCCGATGCACACGCACCGTGTGGAAGGCGTCCGAAGCCACGTACACCTCCACGCCACCGTCGATGCCCGTGGCCACAACCTGGCTGCAGTTGATGGAAGAGAACTCACTTGGAAACTCGATGAATATGTTCCCGTCAGCCGGCAAGGGGTTCGACAATGCGACAGTGACGTTCGCTCCACCCTCGTGGCCTGCCACAAGGCTGTCCAACTCGACCGTTGGTGGCTCCGAGAACGCTCCCGGGGTGAACGACACCCCCGCTGGTCGATCCTCCGAGTTGTGTGCAGAGCTCGCCTCGTCGACGGATATACTGGTGTCGTTGAGTGTCGTTTTCAGGACGGGAAAGGAGTCGCTCTCGCCCTCAAACAGCTGGTTCTTCACGCAATCGACCAAGCTCACAGACACTTCCGCCCCCGATTCCACTGGAGAACCAAATCCGTCGCGCTCCACGTCTACGGTGTATCCGGATACATTCGAAACGAGACCGCCGTCCATACCCGACGCGAGAGCCACTGAACAGTCCACGCTCGTGAAGTTTGATGGGAAGGTGATGATGACGTGCCCGTCACTTGGAATCGGATTCGACGTGATGAAGCTCACGTTGGCGGTGCCCACTTCGCCGGCGGCGTAGGTCGAGAGTACAACAGTGGGACCTACGCCCGCAAACGCCCCTGGGGTGAACGTCACTCCCGGGGGTAGATCAGGCGTGTTGAACTCGGCACTAGTCTCATCTATGGCCACGTCGACGTCCGCCAGCGTGGTTTTGACTGACGGAAACGATGCGCTCACGCCCTCGAACAGCTGGTTCGTTATGCCGTCGACCAATGCGAGAGACACGCTCGCACCCGCTTCCACGACACCACCATTCCCGGCCCGATGCACACGCACCGTGTGGAAGGCGTCCGAAGCCACGTACACCTCCACGCCACCGTCGATGCCCGTGGCCACAACCTGGCTGCAGTTGATGGAAGAGAACTCACTTGGAAACTCGATGAATATGTTCCCGTCAGCCGGCAAGGGGTTCGACAATGCGACAGTGACGTTCGCTCCACCCTCGTGGCCTGCCACAAGGCTGTCCAACTCGACCGTTGGTGGCTCCGAGAACGCTCCCGGGGTGAACGACACCCCCGCCGGTCGATCCTCCGAGTTGTGTGCAGAGCTCGCCTCGTCGACGGATATACTGGTGTCGTTGAGTGTCGTTTTCAGGACGGGAAAGGAGTCGCTCTCGCCCTCAAACAGCTGGTTCTTCACGCAATCGACCAAGCTCACAGACACTTCCGCCCCCGATTCCACTGGAGAACCAAATCCGTCGCGCTCCACGTCTACGGTGTATCCGGATACATTCGAAACGAGACCGCCGTCCATACCCGACGCGAGAGCCACTGAACAGTCCACGCTCGTGACGTTTGATGGGAAGGTGATGATGACGTGCCCGTCACTTGGAATCGGATTCGACGTGATGAAGCTCACGTTGGCGGTGCCCACTTCGCCGGCGGCGTAGGTCGAGAGTACAACAGTGGGACCTACGCCCGCAAATGCTCCTGGGACGAGAAGTACCTGTGGTTTGCGACGTTTCACAAGGAACACTTGTGTAGTAATCGCTTTTCTGTTTCTGCTTTTTTTAGTTGTTTGTGCGGGTTGTGGTATGCAATTGGCCTTTGCAGCTGGTAACGGTTATGGTTCTCTCATTGTTTGTTATACTCCGTTTCGACGAGATTGAGATTTTGATAGCCGCTTTCGACTAAGCTGGATCAGCTGTGTGTATTGCCTTGAGATATTTTTCTCTCCAATGCCGCCAGTTTTCTGCACCACGGCGATGATTTGTCGACGGGAGCCGCAAAAATTGTGCTCGATTCGGAATCAACATTGGCGTACTATGTGTGCTATTATCAATTACGTCCCAGGCTTATTGAGTCGAGTCGCGATCACGAAATTATTATCACCATGGCGAAGGTGCAGAAAAACGACTCTCAGGGCGTCTACTTGGGACGCACACGCCGTTTTCTGTCCCCAGTACATACGACTATGCATGACGGTGACCTTACCTCGGCACTTTGCTTACTCTGAGCACCAGCCCCAACAGCGTTGATCGCGCGGACTGCGAAAGTGTACCCTAAGCCCGTGGCAAGGCCCGTGACATTGGTAGACATGGGTGGGGGGCTTCCTGTTGCTGTTACAAGCCCTCTGTGGGCGCCAGTGCTGTTGTACGTGACCTCGTACATGGTTATTGTGGAGTTGTTGTCCTCTGGCGCCTCCCAAGAAACGGCAACTGCTCGGAGTCCTGCTTGCGCACCATGCACGCTCGTAGGTGCCTCTGGAACATCTGACACTGCTTTTGGAAATCGGAACAAGAGGTGCAAGTTAGCTGAACACATCTTACCGACAAATATTTGGGTCCGATCTCTGGAATCCACGGCAACGACGATAGAAAAGACTGGAACCGATCAACAGGAACCGAATCGCAGTGCACCATGTTTCCAAAAACAAAAGCTTTGGAAGTCGTCCAAATCAAACATTGCAGGAAACTATATGTGTTACGTCAGCTGAAGTTCATCTAGAACGATAACCTCGGGCGCTAAATTTGCCGAGGTGTATGTAGTAGGTATTCTACATGACTGTCACTGATTGGCCTGTTGTGCGTGTGTGTGTCGTTCCACCTATTCTGGACGTCAAGAATGATGCGCATTTTCCCATCCGAGGTTCATGCTTTGACCACCTAACTCTTCGTTCGCCCCACATCGGTACCCAAACTTAGCCTTCAAATGTGAACGAATGCACCTAACATTTTTAAGAACGACGTTTCCGGTTTGCACGTTTCTCCACGGAAAACATGGTGACACCGGTCCGGGGAAACACAATCTCCGATTGACGGGTGAAATCTCGTCGAAAGGAAACGCAACGGTAGTTTGGAAAGTCCCAGAATGATATGATTCCATTTTAACGCAGGCTCGTACAGGCCAGACGGTGGTACTCGCTGGATACGGGCATGCACAACACGGGAAAAGAAAAAACGCACAGTCGGGCATTTTTCGTAGGCGCCATGCCCACCCATCCCTTGGGGATTCTCATCCGCAGCAGTACTGCCCATGCCTTCCCTCAACAGCAGATCACCAACACCCGTTTACATCGGGTTATTGTCAATCCACAAGGTGTTTTGCAGCCCCCATAGATAAACAGGGCTGGTATTATCTCGTCCCTTCCTGCTGCAGCCCCTGCGCTTACGATGATGAAGAGTTTCCCCTTGCGCACACGTACCGCCTTCCCTCTAGATGACCCAAAACCAATCTTATGATGTCTCGTGACGTGCCCATCACATACAACTTCAACTTGTCTGTGCGACACGATGGACAACGTTCGACAGGTGTTTGCTGCCCGGACACAATGCACAGCACCTTGCAGTCGCCGGCCCTCGGCTACTTGCTGTCTCTCGCGTGTGTGCTTTCGACTGTCTTGGCGGAGATCTCTTGATGAACGCGGGTTCCCAATTTCTAGTTTGTATTTTCCGATCAAACCGCCTGCTTGGTTCCTGCGTTCGACAAAGGCGTGAAGACAAGGGACCAAAACGGTAAGGCGTTCTTCGGTACTGGTATCTCCGAAGCTCATTCCCTTCTACGGTGTGGTGATGCTGCTATCGGTTGCGGGTGCAGCACAAAGAGGGAAACATATTGCAAAATCGGGTCTACCCACAAGAAAGCGTCCGATGATTGTGCTGAAATCGCGGCGTGGGTAGAAGGCAGGTCGTGTGGCAGCTCGGGACGATAGTACCTACAGGTAAATTGGCTACTACATGTAGTCTCAGATTGACAAGAAACATAGGCTAGGCTATTCTCTGGGAAAGAAGACGGAAACGGAAACAAAGAACAGCATGTTCGTGAGTCTGCGAACATTGCTGTTGGATACATGTGCTGGATGATTTAGTGTCACGCAGACTGGTAAGATAACCGTTTGATAGGGGGCACCGCGATGATTCACGGGGCCCCTCCTTGCTGTGGGAGCCGCTCTTTGAGCACTCCCTCTTTCGTCCGTGTGAAGGACGGTCGTCTACCTCCCGTGAAGTTAATACATCACCAAAACAGTCTCACCCGATAAATAAGTGGCGTAGGCCGCAAACACTC